ACCTCGGCCTCCCAAAGTGCTGGGATTACAGGTGTGAGCCACCGCGCCCGGGAGGGAGCTCAGTCTTCTTAGGCAGCCACCAGCTGCAGTGATGACGGCAGACCCCCCTCCCCCCGAAACTCGATAGTCTTAGGCAATCTCCAGTTGAGTGGCCGCTGAGAGTCTGCACAGCTCTGTGCTTGGACTCCCAAAGGGAATCTCCTGATCTGTGGGTTGCACGGATCCGGGGGAAAAGTGTGGTTCCCTGGGCAGGGTAGCACCATCACTCCCCACCTCCCTTGGCTGGGGGTGGGAGCTCCTCTTGCCCTGTGTGGCTCCCAGGTGGGCCATCGTACCACCCTGCTTTTCCTCACGCTCCATGGGTTATGCCAACTGCCTAGTCAGTCCCAGTGAGAGAACCTGGATACCTCAGCTGCCGTTTTCGTTCTTCTAAGTGGGAGCCTCTGACTGCAGCTGTTTCTAGTCAGCCATCATGGCCCCTCCCCTCTGTATTTTCTTATACATTTTAGAATAATCTTGTTTATATCTTAAAAAAATCCTGCTGGAATTTTGATAGGAATTGAATTAAACCTAAATCTCAATTTGAGGAGAATTGGCAACTTGACTACGTTAAATTTCACAATTCATGAACATATTCTGTCTCTCCATTTATCTAGGTCTTCTTGATTTCTTTCAGCAGTGTTTTGTAGTTTTCAACATAAAAATCCTGTACATGTCAAAAATTAGCTGGGCATGGTGGTGCGCACCTGTAGTCCTAGCTACTTGGGAGACTGAGGCAGGAGAATTGCTTGAACCCAGGGGGGCAGAGATTGCTGTGAGCTGAGATCCTGCCATTGCACTTCAGCCTGGGGAACAGAGCGAGACTCTATCTCAAAAAAACAAAAAACAAACAAACAAAAAAAACCGTTGTGTACATATGTTTTTAAGATTTTTGTTTTAACATTTACATTTGTTTTATTTTCCTGAGTGTGATTGTCAATGCTTTTGTATTTTTAAGTTTGGTGTCTGCATGCTTATCGCTGCTGTATAGATACACAGCTGATTTTTGTATGTTTATCATGCATTTCATGACCTTTCTGAACTCACATAAGCATTTTTTACATTTTGTTTTTGTTTTTAGATTTTTAAAGACATTTCTTGGAATTTTCTATGTCCTCTGAATCATATCATCTGAAAATGGTGACAATTTCATTTCTTTATTTCTGCATGTATGCCTTTTATTTCCTTATCTTATTGCACTGGACATAACTCCCAGTTTTTTATTGAATAAGAGTAATGACAGTGAACATTCTTGATCTGTCCCCAATTTTCATGTGTAAAAATTTAGTCTTTCCTCATAACCTCCAGTATAATGTTAGTCATAGGTTTTTTGTAGATGCTTTTTATCAAGTTGAGGAAATTCCTCTTCATTCCTCTCCGTCTGAGGTTTTGTTTATTTTAAAAAATTTATGAAAAGGGTGTTAAATGTTGTCAAATCCATTTACTGTATCAATTAGTAGGATCATGTAATTCTTCTTTAGGCTGTTAGTATGCTGGATTGGATTGACTGGCTTTCAACTATTGAACCAACCATGCATACCTGGAATAAACCCCACTTGATCATGGTATGTAATTTCTTTTATATATTGCTGAATTTGATGTTATGAATTTTTGCATTTATATTCATAAGGATATTGGTCTGTAGTTCTCTGTGTCTGTACTCGTCATCTGGTTTTGGCATCAGGGTAATCTCTTCTCTCCTTTTCTGTTTTTGGAAGAGATTATGTAGAATTTGTGTTAATTCCTCTTTTTGATGGAGTTTTCCAGTGAAACTATCTGGACCTATATATTTCTTTTGAGGTGTTATGAAATTGTTATTTCAATTACCTTAAGAGCTGTAAGTCTACTCAAATGATCTATTTTACATTGGATGAGTTGTGGTAGTTTGTATTTTTTGAGGAATTCGTTCACTTTATCTTCATTGTCAAAATTGTGTGTTTAGAATTCCTAATAGTATCCTCCTATCTCTTGTATGTCTGCAGGGTCTGTAGTGATATGCCTTATTTCAGTTCTTATATTGTCTTCTCCGTTGTTTCTTTGTCAATCTTGCTAGGGATTTGTTATTCATCTTTACAAAGAACCGGGTCTTCACTTCATTGATTTTTCTCTGTTGTTTTTTATGTTCAATTTCATTGATTTTTGATCCTATCATTATTACTTGCTTCTATTTGCTTTGAATTTATTTTGCTCTTGACTAGGCTTCTTAAATGGGAACTTAGATTCTTGATTTGAGACTTTCCTCTTTTCTAATGTATGTATTCAGTGCTATATATTTTCTTCTTATCACTGTTCTAGCTTTGTTCCACAAATTCTGATATGTTATATTTTCATTTTAATTCAGCTCGATTTTTTTAAAAATTATACTTGTGACTTCCCCGTGGATTATTAATAAATGTGTTGTTTAGTTTTTGAGTGTCTGGAGATTTTCTTCTTGTTATTGATTTCTAGGCTGATTGCATTGTGGTCAGAGAACACACTCCGTATGATGTATGATTTCAATTATTCTAAATTTGTTGGAGTTTGTCTTATACCCCAGTATATGATCTATCATGGTATATATTCAGGGGGCACTTGAAAATAATGTTAGTTCTGCTGTTATTGAAGGGGGTGGTCTATAAATGTCAAATAGATACTGTTGGTTACCGCTGTTGTAGAGTTATCCCATATCCTTACTGATCTTCTGTCTAGTTATTCTATCATTCTTGAGAGAGGGGTTTTGAAGTCTTCAACTATAATTGTGAACATTCGTCTATGTCTCTTTCAGTTTTTTTCTCACATATTTTGCATTTCAACTGTATGATGAATACGTTTTCAGGATTGCTATGTCTTCTTGGTGGATTGAATCCTTTATTATAATATCCCTGTCACTGGTAATTTTCTTTACTTTGAAATCCACTTATGTGAAATATATATAGCCACATCTCTTTCTTTTCATTGATGTTTATATTTCTTTCTCCATTCTTTTCCTTTCAACCTAAGCTGTAATATTTGAGGTGAGCTTCTTGTGGACAACATAGAGTTGGGTAATGTTTATTTTGAATCCACTCTGCCAACTTCTGTCTTTTAATTGGTGCATTGAGACCTTTTACATGTAATATAATTAACGATATGTTCATATTTAAATTTGCCATTTTATTTTTTGTTTCTATGTGTTTTCTTTTTCCTGCCTTCTTGTGAGTTGCTTTAACATTTGATTCATTTATTGTGTTTTTGAGTATATCCCTTTGTGTAGTTTTTTAGCGGCTGCTGTAGGTGTTACATTAAACATACATACATAATTTATCACATTTTACTGTTTCCATCATTTTACCAGTTCAAGTGAAGTGCGGAAGCCTTACCTCTCTTTAACTAATCCACTAAAATAAAACCAACTGCCCCTGACCATTTCATGCTCTTCATGTAGTAGACCAACAGAAAAAGATGAGTCATTTTTTTAACTGAGATAATTGATATTGATTACCATGAAGATTTATGGCTTATGCCATGAACTTTCATATTAATTCCATAGATGGTAATAAATGCTAATAAGCATTTTAGTCATAACACACACAAAAAAAGCAGAATAACTAAAACCTCTAATAGTTGAAGGTCTAATTCATTCAATAGGTAGTAGAGAGTCAAGCTAATTATCTGCAATTACAGCTTTGGGACAACCAACAGTAGTATGGACTGTATCTTGTTTTGATTACACTTTTATGCAATCTTACCATCTCCTAACTGGCCACCAACTTAAAGGGAATTCTGAGTTATGGGGCATATACCCACCCTGTTTGAGAAGGAATGAGGCTGAATTCATTTTAACAACACATAGAGGCTCCAAATCATAGGATGAGAGCTGGATACAATGGGGAACTGCAAATGGATCTAAGTAGCACAGGCATGGATTGCATTGAACACGAATCTCATGTACCTCCTCAGTTTCTCTCGACAGTCTCCTCCTTTCTGAAGGCATCCTCTGCCTCCTGGACCAAGTCACTACCACTGACAGCCTTACCCCTCTTGTGGGAGATGGGGTGTGCTACTCAGCACAAGGAAGCAAAAATATGTGTGGTCCACAACTCTCTGTCAAATTCCTCAAGATGGCTGGCATCCCAGTTTTTGACCCAGACCGGCATGGGCTATAGGCAGATACACACACACAACACTCACAGTCAGCCACGACTTAAGCAGATAAGGAAGAAAGCTAGAAATAACTACACATGGCTGGGCGTGGCGGCTCATGCCTGTAATCCCAGCACTTTGGGAGCCCGAAGTGGGTGGATCACCGCAGGTCAGGAGTTCAAGACCAGCCTGGCCAACATGGTAAAACCCTGTCTCTACTAAAAATATAAAAAATAGCCAGGCGTGTTGGCAGGCACCTATAATCTCAGCTACTTGGGAGGCTGAGGCAGGAGAATCGCTTGAACCTGGAAGGCAGAGGTTGCAGTGAGCTTGAGATCGTGCCATTGCACTCCAGCCTGGGCAATAAGAGTGAGACTCCATCTCAAAAAAAAGAAAAAGAAATAACTACACACTAGTTACCATAATATATAACTTACATTTATACATTTATTATATCATCTCATTACAAATTGTTTGTAAATCTTTTTACTAAGAGAACATAGATCACTCCTATATCGTTGACAGCTTTGTTTTAATAGCTGCAAATATTTTTGATTCATAACCTTGAGACAATAAGTATTTGTATAATTTCCTATTTTTGTAGGAAAACATACACTTGTTCACTTAAATTTGTAAAGTCTTTGCCATCTGATTGACTTTATTGCTAAATATTGTCATTAGCCCACTTTCCATGACCTCATTAAGTTTTAATAAACTAGCATATAAAAGGCTACACAGGCTTTTAGAATTAAAAGCATTGCAAAAGTCATGCCTCCTTTTGAAAAATTATTAATAAGTTAAATAAGCAAATAAGGAGCTCTTAACAGATTAAGCACAAAGCAAAACATTGATTTCCCTTTATAATACCAAACTTGCAGTGGGCACTTGGGGAGGGGAGTGCTGATAAAGGGATATGTGGGATTCAGAAATGAGACACTTTGAGGTAGAAATTTCTGTCAAGCCCCTCACTGGAGGGGAAGGAGAACACCTTCAGTTTCTCAGCAGAAGTCACTGGCCCTGGCCCTGTGAGAAGGAGACTCTGCCCTTGAGAAGTCTAACCACTGCAGCCTTCATGTCCTTGTTCCGCAGGCTATAAATAAAGGGGTTCAGCAGGGGAGTCACCACTGTGTACATGACAGCAGCCGCTGTATCCTCCTCTACTGAGCTGGAGGAAGAGGATGAGGGGCACAGATACGCCCTGATCACCGTCCCGAAGAACAGAGCAACAACAACGAGGTGAGAGCCGCAGGTAGAGAAGGCCTTGCGCCTTCCCTGGGCAGAGGGTGCCCTGAGGATGGCTGAAACAATTTGGATATAAGAAACCAGGACGAGCATAAAAGGGATTAGAATGACTGTTCCCCCTAGGAACAGGAGCACAAGCTCATTGACCTGGGTGTCAAAGCAAGACACCTTCATCAGCGGTCCCAAATCACAGAAGAAGTCAGGAATGATCTTAGAGCAGAAGGAAAGCTGGGATATGAGGAAGGTGTGAGTCATGGCGACAAGACTCGTGAGGGTCCAGCAGGCGGCCACCAGGACGGCACAGCGGTGGAGGCTCATGATCATCATATAGTGGAGTGGGTGGCAAATGGCCACATAGCGGTCATAGGCCATTACAGCCAGGAGAAAGATGTCCATGTCCCCAAAAGTCAAGAAGAAGTAGAGCTGTGCCAAGCACCCTGCATAGGAAATGGACGTGCTCTGGGTCTGGATGTTCACCAGGGCCTTGGGCACGGTGGTGGAGGTGAAAAAGATGTCTGTACATGACAAGCTGGCAAGGAAGAAGTACATGGGGGTGTGGAGGTGTGTGTCGGTGCCAATGGCCAGGACAATGAGCAGGTTCCCAGCCACAGTGACCGCGTACATCCACAGAAACAACAGGAAGAGAATGTGTTGCTGCTGTGCCTGGTCTGAGAGTCCCCAGAGGAGGAACTCAAAGGTACTAGTCTGATTCCCTCCTTCCAGGAGCTCAGAAGTCGGAGAAAAAACACCTTGAGTGAGCCCCATTACAGGTCTGTAAAAATGCTTTACTTTAGATTGGTGAGCATGCTATTCTCTGAGCTTTAAGGAAGAAAAAAGAAAGACAGTGTACTTTTATTGGCCATCTACTATGTGCAGTGTAAATTTTTACTGAAATACACTATGCTGGAAAGTGTGGGAGATACAATGTGAGGTAATTAAAATACATTTCTCATTTGTTTTTCTACACTCTTTTTCATCCCAAATGTCTTTAGCTGTACTCTCAGAGGAGTTAATATCTGTAAAATGAATGAATGAAAGCATCTTAATTACTGACTCTGGACCTGGCACAGTGCTAGGTAAGTAAGACAGTGATAACCCTTAACCTCAGGAAATTTTTGATCTAATGGTCTAGATATAACTGCCTCTATTAAAATCTTATATGAGTTGGATTCAGAGTTTCCCAGCCATTCACCTGCTTTCAAACCACTCTCAGACCCCAAGACTGTACCTGTTCTGATTCATCAAGCCCAAAACTCAATATTCTCTAAAGATGCAATTTCATATTATCTATTTTTCTGGAAACCAATTCAACAATCAACTATTTAGTAAAGACCCACTATGTACAGATTACTTTTTGAGGTGTCAGTGAGACTCCAAAGAAAAAAATCATAGTCTCCAGAATCTCAAACAGAATAGAACAGGATGTGTCCTAAAAGAGAAGCTGAAGGCCAAAACTCAGCAATCAGGTAACTCACTCCAGGGTACAACTGGAGAAGCAGCCAGGGCTGTTCTGATGAAGAGGCCTTCATTTGGATAGAAATATCAGCAATAGGCCGGGTGCGGTGGCTCAGGCCTGAAATACCAGCAGTTTGGGAGGCCTGGGTGGGCAGATCGCTTGAGGTCAGGAGTTCGAGAATAGCCTGGGCAACACGGTGAAACCCCGTCTCTACTAAAAATACAAAAAAATTAGCTGGGTGTGGTAGTGGGTGCCTGTAGTCCCAGCTACTCAGGAGGCTGAGGCAGGAGAATCACATGAACCAGGGAGGCAGAGGTTGGTAGTGAGCCGAGATCACCACACTCATGCCAGCCCGGGCCACAGAAGCGGGGAAAGGGAATGAAGGAAGGAAGAAAGAACTAGGCAACAGGGAGTAAAGGGCCCTAATGATTACGACCACTGTGTGGGGGATGACTTTTCTCTCCATCTCCGACTGGTAAAAGTCCACACATTTCCACACAAATGCCACCTACTACTTAACATTTCATGCTCCTTCTCTAAGAGAAAGGCTGTTCCTGCACGAAGCTTCCACAAGATTTTGATGACACATTTTTTTCATCAGCACTTGAACATTTTTGTGCCCCCGTATTAATGGTAGATTCTGTAACATGCTATGTCTTCCACACAGTAGCTGTAGTAGTGTTTTGACTACAGAAAAATTAAATAAATGTTAAATGATTAGAGTTTCTACTTTTCTCCTTTCTTAGGTCTTACCTTCCTTTCCTGAATTTATTCTTCTCAAGGCTGAGAATTTTAAAACACAGAGTCAAACAGGAGTTCGGGTCAATTTAATTCAGTTCAAGTCTGCAAACATTTATCAGTCTTCTCACTCTCTGTACATGCACCTTGACTATCTATACCCAGAGAAGGAAGGCATTCTGTATGTTTTATTTCTGTGTAAACCCTTGGGCTGAATGGAGTGAAGTGTTAACCATTGACCGGTGGTGATGGCCTTGAGAAGTCTGTGAAAGCGAGAAGTTCTAAAACATAATTTGATCAAGTCACAGATAAAACTTTCAGAAGCTTTTGGTATCCTTTTCAACAAGTACATATCTGAAGAAAGAATAAAAAGGATGCAAAGGGAACTACATTAAGAAAAGGGTGCATGGAACCATATCTGAATTATGTATTTGGGACTAAACAGTGATTGTCTAGATCCTAATTTTCTTATGTCTCCACTGAGAACCATGCAAAGTGACAAGGAGGAGGAATATAAGCTCAGGTATGTATACTTTCATTGAAACTGAGAGTCAGAAACATCTCACATTAAAAAAAAACGCACAACACCTTGGAAATGAGTGGAAGACAACACCATGAATCAGCCCCATCAATGCGGAAAGTAAAGGCCAAGCAGCAAAGTAGGTGAGTAGGGCAGGGGGTAATGGGGAGTATCAGAATCTACAAATCCTCAGCTGACAGTCATGCCTAGAAAGAGAGGACATAACCCTGAGGGATAGTTGTTATGTACAGATCTGAAGAAACAGGGCAAAAAGTCATGCCGAACAAAGGTGAAGAGGAAAGGTGAGGCAGGCGATAAAGCAATCTTCATTATTGTAGCAATGGAAGGAGTCCCCAGATGGAGAATCTGGGCAAGTTACCCTAATCTTGCTAAATCTCTGGTACTGAAAAAAGGCAAATTGTTCAAATGTGAATCATAACTAATGACTAAATTGCTGGACCTATAGAGAAATATGAAAAAGGAACCCCTGAAAAGTCAAGCTTTTTCTAAGAGAACTCACTAGGAAATTGTCTCTATTGAGAAAAATTCCAATACAATATGTCTTCAAGAATTTTCAAAGTCATAAAACTAATTGTGAAAGAATACTACAAATAGGAAATAAACTCAGAGAAAATATACCCGGACCACAGGAAGGTGTGAAATAGGAACTGAGAGAAGTCTGGATAGAAATTGAAGCAACAGTCACTTATTTTGAAGACTAAGTTACAGAGATTTTTTTTAAATGAACAATACAGAAATCATTATAAAGGACATAAAGGCTAGAAATCAGAAAGGCAAAAGAAACAAAAATAAAGAATGGGGTAAAAGAGTTAGAGAGAAAGAAATTGGCATAGAAGACTGACCAAGAAGATTATATTATAAGCAGAATCCCAAAGAAAAAAGTAAACTTCAGAGTAGAAGATTTAAAATTTAAATGAACTTCCCAGAAATGAAAGATTTTAGTCTACATATTGAAAAGGCATATATCTTAGTAAATTCCAAAAAGTATCTTAGTAAAGTTGTTAGACCTTCAAAATAAACAAAGAATCCTTCAGGTAACCAGTTCCTCCTCCTCCACCGAAAAATCAAGTTGGCATCAGTCTTAATAGCAACTTTCTATACCAGAAAGTAATAAAAGAACACTTACAAGAAACTCAGAAATATAAAGATGAGCCAGGAATTTTATGGCAACCAGTCTGTACTTGTATAAGGGCGATAAGCACAGAGTTTGAACATAAACTCAGGGATTATTGTTCCCATGGCTCTTTCTGGGGTTTCTATTAGAAGATGAAGTTCATATAATCAAGAAAATGTTAGAATAAACTTAGCAAAAATACAAGTGAAAAGCATTGAATATCAATTTACTGTAGAACTAAACTAGGATCAGAATGTGGGGCTAAAGGTGACAGGATACTAGTTAAACCATTATGGAAAACAGTGTGGCGCTTCCTCAAGGATCTAGAACTAGAAGTACCATATGACCCAGCCATCCCATTACTGGGTATATACCCAAAGGATTATAAATCATGCTGCTATAAAGACACATGTACACATATGTTTATTGCAGCACTATTCACAACAGCAAAGACTGGGAATCAACCCAAATGTCCATCAGTGACAGACTGGATTAAGAAAATGTGGCACATATACACCATGGAATACTATGCAGCCATAAAAAAGGATGAGTTCGTGTCCTTTGTAGGGACATGGATGCAGCTGGAAACCATCGTTCTCAGCAAACTATCGCAAGAACAGAAAACCAAACACCGCATGTTCTCACCCTTAGGTGGGAACTGAACAATGAGATCACTTGGACTCGGGAAGGGGAACATCACACACCGGGGTCTATCATGGGGAGCGGGGAGGGATTGCATTGGGAGTTATACCTGATGTAAATGACGAGTTGATGGGTGCAGCACACCAACATGGCACAAGTATACATATGTAACAAACCTGCACATTATGCACATGTACCCTAGAACTTAAAATATAATAAAAAAAAAAGTGACAGGATAATACCTAAATGCAATATATGCTAATAATATGCAAATAACTAACCAATCAATGGGAAAAGGAAGAAAGTAGGAAGTCTATTTCTGTTTATCTCTTAGGGACACTTAGGAGAAAAGGAATATATTAAGCAAATAAGTCAAATAGAAGCTTAAGCTTGTCTAAGATAAGAGGATAAAGAAAGAATGTTCTTGAAAAAATAGTAATATTGAATGGTGGAAAAGGGAGAATAAAGTTTACAAGTTAATTTCATTGTATATAGTAAGGAACAAAAGACACTGTCGAAAGAAGAGACTAAAAGTATTAAGATATTAGCATTATGTAAACTTCCTATGATCAGAAAGAGAATGGCAGACTACATATTAAACATAAAGTCATATGGCACACCTAGGCCTACACATCAGTTATGTTAATAAATGTAAATGAGCTTAATGAACCTTTTAAAAGAAACATACTTTAAATTGACTCTCAAAGCAAAACCCAACTCTATTCTGTGTATAAGAGAAATTGCTAAAATAAAGTATTTCAGAATGATTGAAAATGAAATGATAGGCAAAGGCATAGGAGGCTAATGTGACCAAAACAGCATGATCCTTATATCAAAAAAACAGAATTCAGGAGGACAAAATTAAACAATATGCAGGCTACTTTATAAAAATTAAACCTACAATCAAAATAAAATTGTTTTTAAAAATCTATAAAATTTATGAAGCTTAGTTTGGCTTAGTTCAACCATTGTAGAGGACAGTGTGGTGATTCCTCGAGGATCTAGAACCAGAAATACCATTTGACCCAGCAATCCCATTACTGGGTATATAGCCAAAGGATTATAAATCATTCTACTATAAAGACACACACACACGTATGTTTATCGTGGCACTATTCACAATAGCAAAGACTTGGAACCAACCCAAATGCCCATCAATGACATACTGGATAAAGAAAATGTGGCACATGTACACCATGGAATACTATGCAGCCATAAAAAAGGATGAATTCATGTCTTTTGCAGGGACATGGATGAAGCTGGAAACCATTATTCTCAGCAAACTAACACAGCAACAGAAAACCAAACCCTGCATGTTCTCATTCATAAGTGGGAGTTGAACAAGGAGAACACTTGGACACAGGGTGGGGAACATCACACACCAGGGCCTGTTGGGGGGTTGGGGCTTAGGGGAGGGATAGCATTAAGAGAAATACCTAATGTAGGTGATGGGTTGATGGGTGCAGC